TCAAGAAGGAACTTGAATGAAAAAGGCACCATCTTCACCTCTGAGAGGAGGCTGGTACCAGCAACTGTTCGACATTTCTGCTTGAAAAATGACTTAAAGGCTCCCCTCTCCTTTATTGGAGTCATTTACCTTTTTTGTGCATGTAATAGGTTTGCAAAGTGAAAAAGCCCAAAGTCCACTCCAAAGGGAGTTCCTATCTCCCAAAGAAAATACTGCTCTGAGCTGCCTGAAAACAGCTCATTTATAGTCCAGCCATTTCCCCTTCATCCCTGTGACGAAACAGGGATGAAAGCTAAATGCCTTCAAAAACACTGGTGGAAAAACACTTAACTGCAGCACACACCTCCTCTCCCTTCCAAACACTAGCTACCCTCCAGGCAGTCAATGGACATAAAGTTGTTACTGTGATGTAGAGACAGAGCTCAGTTAAAACTTTATGGGTGAAAAATACTTTTGTTACAGATTAATAACTCACCACTCTGAAACTCTTGCTCCAGTCTATGTTGCCAAGCTGGTCAGCAACATACAGCTGAACAGAAGATGTATCACTCCACAGCTAAAACGAAGCCGCAAGAGGAGCTGCAGCAATGTGCAGTATGAGAAAAATATGGTGTTTTTTGAAAATTAAACCATGTAAACCTGTTCTGGTACATCCCCTAAATAAGATTATGAGCATAATACCACCTCTCTAAACAAATAATCGGTTATCAAAATTGTTGCAGATCAATTTTCTGTCAATTGACTAATTAATCAAGTGTTTCAGCTAATGTGCAGTGTTAAATATGAACATGTATATGCACGCACACGGCTACCAAAGCTACAAAACTAAACCAGCGGCCAGCATTTAAATGGCCATCAATACACAGGCCATACATGTAAGTCTTAGCAGGGAGCATTTTAGATAAAAACATTTAATGCTGAAATACACTGTGCTCTGCGAAAGGTAAGTGTTCCAGGATACAACCACACACACACACACACACACACACACACCTCAGTCTCACTCACTGTTGGAGAACAGAGTCATTACATCATCACCCTTCGCCTTGGGGAACAAGGCATGAGTGGTGACCACAAGGAGACGTGGGGTCATTACATCACTGGCAGCAGCCTGGAGCAAGCTGTAGATGGACGAGCCGTGTGCGTCAAGCGGGATCGAGCTGATCATTGCTAATGCTCGGTAATGTTGCTAACACACACACACACACACGTCAGATGGAGGGCCGGGGACTGCTTGACGCAATGCACACCACCCCAGGCCCCAGCTACCAATGAGCATAGTTATGTCACATTATGAGGCTGTATGAGACACACAGAGTGCTTTAAAAATATTACAGCATTAATATGAAGGCCGGCGTTTACATTCCATTTCAAAAGTTGAATATGCGAGCAGTACTTTTATTTCACACTGTCCTGGTTTCACTGCAGACCTGTTCATAAGCCATCACACGCCAATATCTACGTTACATTTTTAATATGCATTTTGTCAAAGCGCAATCTGATTCTCCATATAATTTTTCCAAGAAATGTTACTGCACTTTAAATGAGCAGCTTTAACTTTCTGCATCATTGCAAAGCAGAAACAACGCTGGCCTAATGTCACTGCGGTTGATGTGGGAGTCCGAGTGGGCAGTGCAGCTTCTAAACAAGATATGCTATTATTACGAATGATTTAACCACCTTGTTAATCATGAGAGAGTAGAGGGTCAATACTGGATCTACCTATGAGAATCCATCCACAGGAACTAGGCAAAATACAGAGTGAACATAAATATATTTGTCCATGTTTACCACTTTTCAGAGAGAGAACAACATAAAACACTATATGTGTTTACAAGAACATGTCTTAAAAAGGAAATGCTGAATATATTTGTGTTAGTGTCAACAAATCTCATGGATAGCAAGACCAGAGATGTGTTTGGTCCATCTCTCAGCAGTTTCTGATTTTCCTAACTATTGGTTCCACACAAGATCAAAAACATCAAATCACAAATTTTTATTTTAATTTTTAAAACAGTGAAATAATTTCAGCTGGGCACTACAGTAAAACTTGTATCTATTGGGGACTTTTTTCCACTGCGGTTTTGATGCACTAGTGAGTATTTACAGCAGCAGTACATACAAAATAAACTTCAGTGCCTAAGTTTATCATAATGAAGTGTTGGTGCTGGCATGGGTGTGTTTTTGAATAACAGTGGAGGTATTTGGCACAAAGGAATTAGCAAACTAGCTATCAGGCTTTGACTACACAAACATGACTTGTTGACCTGGATACAAAATATACCCACATTCATCTTTAAAAACGTAAAAACTATTACAATCCTATTGCCACTATAAAGTTGGTAAGTGATCAAAAAGAATTCAGCAGCACACACTAACATCTGATCATGCGTGCTTACATTGTCTAGTTTTATTGGCACATAGAGACAGGATTGTGTGTGGTTAAAGTCTAGACATGAGAACTTATACTGCTGAGTAGCAGTTCATGACAAAAACAAAACAATAACACCGAAACGCAAGAGTCCATTACTGAGAAGGTGGGGCAAAAATGGTGAGATGGGGAAGCCAGACTCTCCAGATATTTGATAAGCAGGTGGAGAGAAGTTGGGTGGGGAGTAAACAGGTCCACGGTGGCTGAGAGTGTGTAGGCAAAATCCATTTATGAAACTGTACAGATAAGCAGAGGACAATGACTGGAACAAAGTAAAAATAATACATAAGCAAACTGAGGAAGGAGAGGGTCATCAGCATGCAGCAAAGCGTTCTCGTTCTCCTCATCTATGCATTCCTCCCTCCCCTGTATCTTTCTCTCTGTGCTGTGCAGATTATCTTAATGGAAATGACCTCCATCAGAGACAGTTGAGTGGCCCAAACCTGATTAGTTCTTTACCTCCCTTCCGTCTTGCTTTCCTTTATCCACTCATCACAAGTCTTTCTTTACGTCTTCCCTCCTCTTTGCCAAGTAATGCCCTGGCCCCCCTATAGTGACAATAATGTATTGTGTCATTTTATACGAGCCAATAGTCTCTCTGGTTTTTACAGACTTAACAAGTGAGGGTAGCCAGGAGATGTGTGCAATCGTGGCAGGCATTTGTCCAAGCGTGGCTATATTTAAGTGCTTTTAGGAGCTCTTCATGTCTATACAACACGTGCAGGTTCTTCTCTATTTTGCTCCTTATCTGTGCATGCGTGCTGCTGAAGAAGACATCAACACGTGCTGGTGACAGAAACGTGTGATTCCATGATACATGAGCGCAGCGGTAGAGAGAGCGATGCTCTCCGAGATGAGAGCTCTCAAGTGATATAGTGGCTCTTCTTCGTGTTTAAATCAGTGAGCAGAAAGTGGTCTGCCCTGCTGCAGGAAGGGAGGCAAGAGAAGATATTTTATATATCAAACTCCAGAGCCCGCTCACGCCTCTGCTGTAGGTGTGCCTATGACGCACACTGAAAAAGTGAGGCCGCATACTATCTGTCTGTTTATGTATATGTACAAAATGTGTATCAAAATACCTTTTTTTAAACCAGCACCAGACCAGTGTCATCCAAATGAAAAAAAATTATATATATACACTGGCATTGTAGTCTAGTTGGAATTAGACTGCAGTTAAAAAAATAAATAAATAAATAAAAAGGTTTATGTCGAGCAAAGAATACCAAACTTCTGACAACCTCAACAGTCCCTCTCCCCGTTACCCTTACACACAAACAGCAGAAGGCCCTGTCACTCCCTGACACAAATTTAACAAACCCCCTGTCACATACGCAAACGCCACCGAGCATGCATAATCAAGGCTCGCATCAGAAAAAATAATAGACCACTATAGCCCTCTATGTTTCTGTGGCGGTATAACAGTCCAACAACAAAAGACTTTGAAGCTGGCATTTCAGCGTACTGGCGTCTGCTTATAACTCATCCTAATATGTGAGCTAATGTTGACAATACCACCTGTCATTGGCTCAGGCCTATTGCTTCATATTTTGCAGAGCTCCAATTCACACTGAGGTTTACTCTATGTTCAGCCAAAATACCATGTTCGAGCTTCAAATGTTTTTGTGGCAACAGGTACTGCAGGAAGTTGCTGAGTGCAAGAGAACTGGCAATATTATTGGGGGAACAGTGACATCTTGTGGACATTTGAGGAAAACACTGTTTTCTATGCCTTTGTAACAGTCAACACAAAGCCAACAGCATGTTTCTTCGAGGTGTGATGTACATCAGTAAAGCGACCAGAATCCAGGCCAAAATGTCACATAAAGAGTAGGGATGGGTACTGAATTTCACAATTTTTGGGGCACAGAGGTAAATGTGTGTACAGAAAACCAAAAACAGTCAATTACCAAAAGCTGGCATTCAATGCCTCTTCTTCTTTTTACTTGTTCTTTGATCAGATCGTTTTCAGACTCAAGCTTCTTTCAGTTCTTGCACGGCTGCTTGTGGAGGAACATTTAAGAAGTTTGGCTTCTTATGTTAAATGAAATGTTTTGTACGAAAGCAAGGATAGTTTTGAAAATGGTACCAAAAGTCATGTACTGTATTTGACAATAACCAGCTCTACTTAAGAGTGAATTTAACAACCTGTTATTCAGCAGATTTCTGCACATCTAGGTTAAATTAAATTCTATTAATACTTTATAAAAATAATTCACCCACTCTAATTACACTAACGAGAAGGACAAATGGTTGCCTAGGAGGATTTAACGGCAGTATAAGCGATGGATGCTAATGACAGCATTGACAACCATGATGAGGGTAACTGACATAATGACAAATCTTGAGAAGCGGGCAGGAAGAGGGGGTAGAGAGAGAGAAAGAAGAGGGCTGATTTGCAACAAGAGTCCCTGGCTGGACTAGGAGTGAGGGACCTAATATACCACATACTGTCGTACATGTTGAATATTAGACTTTGTGTCTCGTTTCTTACAGCATTGGGTGGTGAGAAGACAAAGAGAAGCTTCCAACCAAAGTGAAGATGTAATCAGAATAACATAAAACTACTAACCAAGTATCAGAATAGAGTCTTCTTTCTTGATGTGGTTTTCCAAAAGGTGCTGGAATTTGGAGAAGCAGCCCAACCAGTCATAACACGGCTCTGTCTTGTATCTTTCATCCCAGTAGTCAACATCTTTGTACCTGGAGTTGTCATCTGGCAGGTAGTTCATATTGTCTGTGAAATGTAAGTATAACACACTTCAAAATAAAACACTATTAACTGCTTTCATTATGGCTGTAATATTACAAGCTCTGAGCCAGGAACCTCTCTCTATTCATATAACAGTCTAGTTCTGCTGTCAAATCTATTCAGAGCTCATTAAGTTTGTTAACAGAAAAACATACATTGGCCACTGACAATGAGCATCTTTAAAGGATTTCTTTAGCTCAGTTTTTATTACAGTGGGGAGACACAGTTCTATCACAGCATATAGGAAACTTTTAGGGCCAAATAACTGAGATTGTGTTGTTTGGTGATTTCCATCTAATGTGTTACTCTTTAGGTGTGTATAATTCGGTTAGGTCTGAGTGTTTTGTGCTAATCTGATGTTCTCCTGATGCTCCTTTAGAGTCCCACTGGCTTTTCAACTCTAGGTGTTAAAGTGACTTGTTCTTTGGTGCTGACAGAATTTGAGAGCTATTTTCTCAGTGAAAAGATGAAAAGGAGGAAATTTACTTAACCCTGCTCTGTATGCTGTACACAATACCTCGGCACTGTAAATTTTTACATAATTGGGCATTCAGGGTTGGGACAGTATACTTTTCCAAATTCAAAATCCATATGGTTTAAGGGGGTACCATGCTTCGCTATCATACAGTGATGTATATTTACAACAAGTGGTCAAATGTTCTTGTTACAGCTTCTCATGCGTGTTGATTTGCTGCTTTTGTCCGTTTCATGTCATTGTGAATTTAATGTTTTTTTGGTTTTGGGTAGCTGGTCAGAGAAAAACAAGTCACACAATAATGCCACTGTTGGCTCTGGCAAATTGTGGCGTGATCGCTTTTAACAATTTTACAGTAACATTTTAGAGTTTAGGGACAGTGGTGGCCAAAAGCTGAGAGAAGCAAGCTAGGTCAGCGGGAAGTCAACAATTTAATCCCCATACCGGCAGATTAAATCTGGGAGGGGAAGCAGGACTTTGTGCTCCCTCTTTTCCACCACTGAGGTGCCCTTGAGCAAAGCCCTTAACCCCAAACGCTCCAGTGAACCTGCTCAATGGCCAGCAGCTCAGACTGTGGTTGTACTGGGCAGCTTCCAGGTGTGAATGAGTAACTACGAATGTGATCAGGGTGTTCCTGCAAAAGAGAGGCTTCCTCTCAGTGAAACTTTCCTGAATTAATAAAAGTAAAAAAAATATAAAAATAAAATAATAATAATAAGTGATGATAAAGATAATAATAAAACTAACCACTAAGTGATTAACTTAATTAGCAAAATAATCTTCAAATAAAAAACACCCTGTTGCAGCCCAAAAATGACAGCTGTCACTTGATGTTGTATGTGGGTTTAGCTTTAATTAAAATATTTTTTACGTATGTTGCATGTATTTAATTATGGTTTTGTATGTTATGTTTAAGTCTGTGTTTAAGGCTTCAACTGGCTGCAAAACATTGTTCTCTGGACTTCTCCTCAGAGACAATAAGTTAGTTTGCTGATTATAATATTTTCAACCAGATTAGAATTTGAATTTCCATTTATACAGTTCTCTAGATGATTTCCAAAATTCTTTCACATCCAAAGTTTCCATTACTGTGCTTTTTATTCCCAAACAGTGAAATCTGTGACATTTCGCTGGTTTTTCTTCGTGCACGTTCAGTGCTGCCACTAACGGTCAGAAGCTGTATTGCTACAACTGTAGCTAGCTAGCTTTCACTATGACAACCCTGACGTAGCATTAACCCACATTTTGGTTTCTTTACAGCTGCCTGGCATCGCTTTGTCTACTTAAAGACCACTGGGACGTGAACCTTCTCTCTGGCGGCTTCGTGTAGTTTTATATTCTCCCGTTAAGGACTTTAGGAACCTCTTAACGTTAGCGAAGCTGACGCTACCGTTAGCTAAATGTCTGAAGTGGGTGACATGGCTCCTGATGCCATAACGTTAGTGCTTACAGAAGAGTAACTTAAGAGGTAACGTTAGTGAAGATGGCACAAGCGTTCGCCATTTAAACACTGGTGTGGTGAATTCAACACATAATAAATCCAAAAAGATGTTTTAGGTTTGTGTAACTTAACGTTAGCTCTTGAACCTCCCTCGCTGTTAAATAACGTTAGTCACGCAGGGATTTACAGCACGGCGCATGCGGGGATGAGTTATAACTTGTAGCCGAATACTGCCCAGTTGAATTAAAATGACAATTAAGTTAATTTACTTAATTACGGACAGCGAATGACACATTGTTAGCTAACGTTACTTACGATTTCCTCGTTAACGCCGGCCTCTAATCAGTAAACACGCCGGTTCGTAACAGTGAATACATCCACGTGTTGTCCACTTTTTATATACAGCCTACAGACAGTATGGAAACGCTTAGTTACTGCAGAATAACTCTTCATGAGAGCCCTAATCTAGGGGAGTCTTGATGATTTATTAGTTTGAACAAACATATTTCTTCGACGTTCTCTTTCTGGTTGGATGTTTAAGATAAGGCGGAGCAATATGATTTAACACTTTCGTACCTGCTGCTTGCAGATCCTCCTTTTAAAATCTCCATTGGTGCATTCAATAACCTTTTAGTAAGAAACACTTGCTGTAATAATATCAGCTTCCATGGCTTTTCTTTTAATGAAAAAGTCAATCAATTTCAAAATAATGGGACGCTACTTGGTGTTTTTTTTTTAAATGTTAGATGGCATGGTGTTGGCTACTTAATTTTCCACTTATATTAAGCCTACATCTTTTTATGCATTTTATAGGACAACAAATGCCCCTAAATGAAGAGGAGAAAATTTGCATTGGCATATTTTAGTGCTGAAGCAATGAGTCACTTAATTGTAAATAATCCATTAGGCTTCTCAAATGTGAGGATTTGCTCTGTTTTGTTATAAGGCTACATTTTTTGGTTTTGGACCTTTGAACTAATCGCTGGGCACTTTCACATTTATTTGTTGTGGGGTTTTTTTGGGCCATTTTACAGTTTCAGTAATTAATCAAAAAACAACAGATAATTTAAGCTATTGTTATAATATTATGTGTTATTATCAGCCACAGTGTCACAGATGTTCATATTAATGGGGTCTCCATATGGTTTTAAGAAAAACCCAGGAAAAACATAAAGTGAGGAAGTGAAAATATACAAAATAACAAGTTCTGCTCTGCAAACCTCTCCAGTATGTTACTGTATTCAAGTTAAGGCTATATATGATGTTTAAATAATTATAACACATAGAAAAAGATATAAATACACTTTTTGTTTTCAAACTAATCAACTTAAACCACATGTAACATCAATCGACAGGAGTAGCTGCACAATGATACCTGGATATTACTTTCTGGAATCTCAAGAAAAGAAAAGAATCGAAAATTAAGAGTTGGATACAGCCAATTTCCAACACATTACTTTGTCTGCTATGTCACAAAATGATGTAGCACCTTATGCAACCACACAGTTGTGAGACAACCAGCGGTTAGTAGACCTATAGTATAATATCCGGTATAATATCGGCCATTTGGCCCTGAGATGGACTGGCAACCTGTCCAGGGTATACCCCGCCTTTCGCCCGATGTAAGCTGGGATCGGCTCCAGCCCCCCGCAACCCTGCACACAGGATAAACGGTAGATGATGAATGGATGGAATATCGGCCATTTGATCAGTTTGAGAAGCATTTTGCAGGTCAGTAGCCTATACCAGCTGCAAGGATGAGCACCATGAACATATATTTATCCTTCTTTGCCATTGCCACCACTTCTTACTTTTCTGTGACCTGGACCATTGCCGCTCATACATAATTATGACAGCAGTTTGAAATGCGTATCAAAGGTAATACATGTTCATCCACAGATACATGGACTATTATAATGAAGTCGTTTTTTTAAGTTGCAATTACAGGATCATATACAGTAAGATTTGTTTAAGCAGTGCCATTTCTTACTTGTGACTGTAGAGGGCAGAAAAGACCAGGGAGTGTGTAGACCAGGTTACACTGTTGATTTTGCAGGTTTTGGGCTCATAACCAGAAATCATTCTTACTTTACATAACTGTCTGCAAACCACATCCAAAGCAAAACTCGCCTAGGTGCTTGTACCCTTGTTATTACAAAAAACTACAAATGTTGTAAATACACCACAACTGAAAATTGCATCAGATGTTGAGATGTCCTTACTTTATGTCCAGAGTATTGCGGAAGCTCCAAAAACCCCTTACATTTCCCACAACGCATCTCAATAGCGTGTTTCATCCTACAGTCTACGGTTTCATCAGACTCTCCCTGCTTCCTAAATGTCTTTGAAACTCTACACTTTCAGTTTGCAATACATGCTTTAAGTTAAAAATGTTTTTTATCTCCAATCCCAAATCAATATTAGCCCAATGACACAATTAAACTTACTCAGACTTAAAAAAAAAAAAATCTCTAAAAAATCTGATAAAGAATGTGGACTGTAATAATAATAATAATAATAATAATAACTTTGAGTTATATAGAGCCTTTCACAAACCCAAGGACGCTTAAACAAGGTGGGGAGGTAAGAGGTGTGAGGCCAGGGGAGATTAAAGCCAATAGGCTCTGTCACCAAATGTCCGGAGCCTGGAATTAGGACAGCGAGCAAGTCCTTGTCAGAGGACTGCAGGGACCGTGACTGAGTGTAGGGATGGAGGAGATCTGTGAGGTACTGAGGTGCAAGTCCATGGAGAGATTTGTACGTCAGGAGGAGGATTTTATATTTGATCCGGGACTTAACTGGCAGCCAGTGAAGCTTCTTCAGGATGGGAGTGATGCGCAGTCCAAGTTTTGTGTGGGTGAGCATCAGAGCCGCAGAGTTCTGGACATGCTGGAATCAGTCAGTAGCCTTGCTGGGCAGACCGAACAGGATACCGTTACAAGTCGGGAGGTGATGAAGGATTGCATGAGGATCTCACAGAGTTGGAGAGGCACTGTCGGAGTCTGGAGATGTTCTTAAGATGGTAAAAGGCAGTTTTAGTAGTGTGTTTGATGTGCTGTTGGAAGCAGAGGGTGAAGTCCATGATGACGCCCAGGTTGCGTACTTGAGGGGATGCAGAGATTGAGCAGCCATCCACATACAGTTTGATGTCACCAACCTTTTTGAGAAGTGACTGTGGGGCAAACACCATGAGTTCTGCAAACAAGAAGCCTCTACCACAGTCCTGTAATCACTCAAACTTGCTTCAAACAAGACTTTAAAGTTACATGGCAGTGTCAATAGCTCCTCTGTCCTATGATGCCCATTTTGGCAACAAACACCACGGACAAGTGTATCTAATGTCCCACCAAGTTACAGATGGTCCCAATCCTTAGTTTTCTTGTTCCTCGTATAATGTCCCCTGTCACAACCTGCACACATCAAATACTAGCAGGCTGTGCTTACTGTAGCTTTGACATGATCATCATTTCTTCAGACTACTACCTTCCCGAAACGGCATCTGCAGAACCCATATATGATCAAGACAACAGCTGAACAATTTCTCTAAAAGATATAAACAAAGATTTACATTAGCATCTTAGCAATGCAAAGCTTGTGCAAAGACAGTGGGAATATCACAGTTCAGCACACTCTGTAAAGGCTTTGTATTTTTTTTTTTTCACAGGGTGTCATCACTGAAAACAACTTACTTTTCCATTCCATTCTTTTTGGCTTGTGACCACTTAAAGAAAAGTGGCATCTGAAGACAGCCCCTTGTCAACTTTTAGTATGTATTAGTAGTATGTATTTGAGTTATTAACAATTCTAACAAAGAGTGATTTCCTCTCTAAACTTCTCTGATGGTTTCATTTAAATAAATGTCTGGGGCTCAGAGAGGTAAAATTATATTTAGAGTAATGGCGTACTTTCCCCTGCAGATGGTAGTATCATACTGCTATTTTCACACTGAATAAATCACACTGTGCCATTTACCGCTGAAAGTACAGTGGTGTGAACAAGAGACACCCTGGACTTTGTGGTTGATCTTCTGGTTAAGATGATTTATGTGCTGCAAGTGCCCATTCATCTTCATCGACTAGAGTTGCCTTTTCTGTGTCAAAATCACCCAAAGTGGTTCTTAAACTGTTGCTCTGCCTCCCTGTGAGAGGCTAATCTCACCTCCTTTCTTTGTGAATAGCTCACAGAGGAAGGTTCTTATGCCTTCGTGGCATCAAGTGCCATTCTGTGGACACCCATTGAACTGTAATTTTTTTAAACAACAACTCAGCTTTGTTTCCTGCTGTCTTTACAAGGCTTATCTCTTTTATCTATCATGGACAAATAATCAGTTTTCTCAGAAGAACCAGAGCACTTCAGAGTATCCTCGTGCTTCTCTCACACCACTTGAAAAGCAGACTATGTTGACTGTTGATGTTTTTATCAGATGGATATAATGTTAAAGATGATTTGGTTGCTCAGTGTGCTAAGATATGATGTGCTCATAGAGTTGCGCTTCAGAGTCCACCATTGCTTTTTTTGACATTCTTTTCTTCTTTGTCTGGTTGATGTTGATAAATCCTGGAAAGAGCTGATGCACATGTTACAAGAAAGTCACTATACTTCCTGCTTCAACACTAAAAGTTAACATTGTTTCAATCAGTTTCAACAAAGGACCAATGGGCCTTGTTTTCTAGGCTTTCTAGAGATGACAGAAATAAAATAAAAAAATCTCTGTGAATAACTGTTGGTCTATAAAGTCTATTGTCTGGCCCAACCTGTGTGAGGAATCTCCGAGCCCCAGGAAACCCACATGGGTGCTGGAAAGGTCTGAGGAATGCTCTGAGCCCCACTTGGGCTATAACCTGCAATGGGAGAATGTCATGATATCACAAAAAGCATACGTTTGGCGCTGCATCATTATTATGTAACCCTCAGCACTACTGAGTTAAGGTAGCTACAGTAATGTCAGTGTCTGCAGGTGGCGAAGCCATAAAACTTCGCAGGGTCAAGCTTTTAAATGCACATGTGGCTGGGTGTAGGGGAGAAGTGATAACGTTCCTTTGATTTTGAATCCAATGAGGGCACTCGGGATCTCCGGCTGGAGATGCGGAGAATAATTTGACATAGATTCCTCTGCATAGTGGAGGCACTATCACAGACCACGTGAGGGGAATATTCAACGACGGTCCCCGGCAGACCGGCTCATCTCTGCTGGCACTCCTCTGCTGCTGACATGGACTCTTGGACACTGTATTCTCTCAGCTTCCCACAAACGGACGCGGAGAGAGGGCGATACTCTGTCTGAATGTAACATTTTGATCTTTTTCTGTTGTTCTGTTCTTTTTGTGTTAGATTTTTTCTTCTTCTCCTTTTTCTCTCCTCCGCAAGTCAAACAGTTAGAGGAGGTATGGCTTGGCCGTGCATCAGCAGAGTGTGCTGCCTGGCTCGCTTCTGGAACCAGCTCGACAAATCGGACCTGTCCGTCCCGCTCACCATCCAGAACTACTCGGACATAGCCGAGCAGGAGGTGCGCTCCGTCACCAAACAGGTCTCCGCTTCGGAGCGCGCACCCGGGAATAACTATTCGACCCCGGACCCGCGTGCCGGCGGCTCCCCTCAGGGAGGAGGATCTTTCAGGGCACGGAAGGAGCCCAGTTACAAGCCCCGGGAGGACTACCACCCGCCCGGAGTGCCTTTCCCCAATGTTACCCAGTACAAGCAGGATTTCAAACCCTGGCCCATTCCCAGGAAGGAGAACTTCCCTTGGATTAGTAACGGGGGCAGCAGGGCAGACAGTGTTTCGGACAGCCCGGTGAACAGTTACCACAGCCAGGCACAGCCGGGGGAGAGAGAAGAGAGGAGCAGGGCACAGAGGTGGGGGGAGCAGCAGGGGATGGAGGAGAGAAAAACCAGCTCATACAGGTGAGACACGTCACCCTCTTTGACCTGTTTCAGCACCTGTCGGGGCTGCTGTTATTATGCTGATGCCTGCTTCATTAGATGCGTTTGTATTAATAGTTCATTGACTTCCAGGGTCGACCCAGAAAGCCTGCGTGGAGATAAGGGTCATCAATAATTCTCTTACACGTCTCATTTTAATATATGGGAGAGCTCAAGTATGATTTTTTGATTTTCATATAAGCTATGCATTTTATTTTATGTATGTGGGAGCAAGTGTGTGGTTCTCAACCTTTTTGGCATGTGAGCCTTTAAAAAGAAGAAATATTGACTACCAATCAATCCCCAGTCATATAGATTATGAATTACAAGCAGTGCAACCAAAAAAATTATACTCCTTTTCTTAGACTGATTGATTTGGATAGATTTTAGAGCCCTGAAGAACTTAATACTGGAGAAAATATTTAAACCCTCTGGATGGTCCAGGCCTTAGAGTTGTTACAATAATCTCTGGTAAATAAAGATTTATTCTGGTGATTTTGTGTTGCATATTCATGAAGTTGTAAGAGACGGGGGAAATGGTGAAAATCGATGTATCTGGACTTTTGGTCTTGAGTCAAGCTCCAAAAACAGTGGATACTACACTGGAAATGCAATAGTGTTTTACAGATTGTAGAGCATCTTAAGATAACCCTGACCACATCATCAGACTGAATGCCCCTTCAAGTCAGTTTTTGCTGGTGCTGTATATGTGGATGTAGTCAACAACAAGTCAAAACCATTATTATAACCATGTTAACATAGGTCACCAGCCACACTGGCCCAAGGCATCACTTCAAAAACAAGCCTGTTACAAACTTTTAGCCTGTACTAACTGTAATCCACATGGCGTCTGTCAGCCTACTGATGCGTCTCTCCCTCCAGGCAAGAGTACAGGCCGTGGACGGGGGCGAGACCAGCCAAAAGCGCGAGGAGAAATCTTCCAACTCAATACTCCAGCCCAGGGACAGAGGCCAACCAGGTCCCGCGTGAGACCAGCTACCAGGCTGCCTACAATGGGGAGGGCCAAAGGTCCATAGGGCTGCATCAGGGGGAGCACATCATCCCGTCTGCCAGCACCAATATACAACCTGTTGCTGTCCCCCAGCCCATCCCCACTTCCCTGCAGGCTGGCAGCTCACACAGTGTCCCGCCTGAGAGGGCCGAATTAAGTGGAACAACCAAGGGAGAGGTAAGCACAGGCAGCAATGTTGTTCGGCACTATCAAGCATTCAGCTGGAGCAGCGGTGTAATGTACATTACCAAAACAGCTGTTGGTTCAAAGAGTTCATTGGAAGAGCTACATGTTTAAATTGCAGCATGCTCCTCCTGAAAGTCATCTTCCCTTATCTCCCTGGTGGCCTGTTGCTGTAGGGGCATCTCAGAAAAGTGATACAGCATTCTGTCCCTAAGCAGCTCAAAGTGACCCAGCTGTTTGAAACAGGCCATGTGCTGTGTTAGGTAACACTCTGCTGGTGCTACACTCATTACTTTGACCTGAATAGAGCAGGCATGAGGAGAACAAAAAAAAGTAACAAAACAAACCCTAAGACAAATACATTTAAGTCTGTCTAACATTTAGTGTGATTAATACACCACAAATAAGTACTCTTGTTTAGACATACCATGCATTCCAATAATAAAGTTACGCAGTGATTTCTCCACATATACAGTACATATCATTTTATTTCATTTATTTAAGGTAATTGATCTTAACAATTGATCTTGGGGTTAGCATTAAATCCACTGAAAAATGTTTTTACATATAAAAGAATTATTAAGTAGAAAATCCTCAAACACACACAACACATTTTTATTCACTTGAACCATGTCCATCTCAGTGGGGTAAAAGAGCTGACAAACGCTCAAAAAATGTTCTGAAATTACATTTTGTGCAGTACTGAAGAAATTATGCAAAGGAGAGGAGTATGAGTAAGGAATATTCAATTTTCAATTCAATTTTATTTATATAGCGCCAAATCACAACAACAGTTATCTCACAGCGCTTTTCATAAAAGAGCAGGTCTAGACCGTACTCTGTGATGTTATTTACAGAAGCCCAACAGTTCCCACCAAGAGCAAGCACTAGGCGACAGAGGCAAGGAAAAACTTCCTTTTAAGAGGCAGAAACCTCGAGCAGAACCATGGCTCAGGGTGGGCGGCCATCTGCCTCGACCGGTTGGGGTGTGTTCTTTAATTAAACAAAACATAAAATAAAATATTGCTAATATAGCTAATATTTCATATACATATACATACATATTTCATTAAATGTGATCTTAATTTCTAGTTTGTGTTTGGAGTCTAAATTATGAAAGGTCATGACATGTTTTTTTCTGGTCCAGAGACAAAACATACACTATGTCAAAGACATGTGACTGAGATCATTTATTTTGAGTTTGGTAAACTGTGTCAACAACAGTTGAAGAAGTCCCCCAAATATTCACACAATTCTACATTTTGTCCCAGATTTCTGCTCTCAGACATGAAATGAAAGATGGGCGCACAAAGAACCACATGTATTGTCTGATTGAAGCAGAACTAACTGCAACAAGGAGATGATAACTCATCAGCTCATTCAGGTTCTTCCAGATTATTGTGTGATAACTGAGTGAAGGGACATATCCCCCCTTTCCTCTGTCCCCTCCCTGTCACTCAGGTCAACTGTTGCGTGACAGTAATTGAGACAGTTTTTGGGAATCTCCAGAGGTTTAGTGCAATCCCTCTTCCCCGCCCACACCCCTCGGTGCCATCTGCCAGTGGAGAGCTGGGGCTGGGCTGGGCAGGGTCAGGCTGCTTTGTTTCATTGAACACTGTGTTGCAACAGTTACCCTTAAAGGGATAGTAAGTGATTGTAATCCAGTACACTTGTTTTTTTAATTCAGCAAATATTTCCTCACAGTTTGCTAGATCTCCGTTCTGCGTGTGCTCTGAAAAAAATCAGGGTTTCCCCACACAGCCCTGGATCTGTAAATGGAAAACAAAGAAAGTGGTGTGGACCTTGCCACATTGTTCCAGCCAATCAGCAACAGTTAGTGGTCGTGCACAGGAGGGACTGGGGGTAGTGGGAGAGAGAGTTCTATACACCAGCACATTCGAACGTGCTGAACTCCAGGCACTGTGATGAAGGAGAGTTGGCCCGAGAAACAGCCCAAGAGAATAAGGTTTGACGAGTATATATACTCTTGTATATATAACAGTAAAGAAAGTTATACTACCAGGCAGGGGCGAAGGCTCAGATATTTGAAACTTGAGGGGTGGAGCTTCTGAGGGAGCACTGAAGGGAGGGGTGTATTTGTTTGGCAGTTAAGTTCAAATATCAACAATCATTCTGCAGAATCACATACCGTCTCTTTAAATGTCACACTGAGAGGTATCTGGGAAGGTCAGAAAATATGTCATAGAGGGAAAAGCAGGGATGTAGCTCCCATTGAGGACACAGAGGTTTGTTTGGGGGTTTTAGGAACCTGGGGGAGATTTACATTCTACTTTAGTGGATATTTTATGGATTCCAGCATTTTTCAGACTCAATATATTTCAATTTGACTACTTTTAGGCTAATTAATAAATAAAGGACACATTACTTCCCCACCAGAATTGTATTTCTGGCAATGTAGAGAATCAATAGCCAGTGAAAACCATGTATCTTCAAATTTAGTGTTCCTTCTATGGGCTGAGCCAATTTCTTTTTACACAGGGTTTTCATAGGACAGAGACATTCATGTTGGGAAACAAAATGGAAAGACTGAAATAACTGGAATTAACAGAATAAATTAAATTCTAATTTTGTGTCAAATTATACAAGGGGAGGGAGGACTTGGACTTTTGACCTCAGTATTTCTGAAATCCTTTCTACAGGCCAGTGTGTTTGTCCTCAGTCCTGCAACTTCAGAGGTTTCGGAAAGAAACCTAACCTTCTGGTTATTTGCATAATTTTCTGAGTAAGGACTGCTCTATTAAGTCGTTATGTCCCTGAGAATCCCGTTGGATGGTGATGGAGGTCGAAGTGAGAGATGTCAATGGCGGGACACAGACTCTATTAATACCATTGGCCCAGTTGGAGTGAGAGTTCACGGCACATTAAGGAGGGATGTGCTGCTGGCAGTATGTTCAGCAGGGGGACTGAACACTGCAGTCAATATTATACGCACTTTTTGAGTTATACCACAACCTGCCAGTGCGACACAAACCAGCCTGGCAGCAAATCAAGTTGATCTTAGATAATCCACCCCGGTCACCGACAGCCCACTCACTGCCAACTCATTATTGACTCAACAGCCCCCTGCAGAGGTGTCTGACCAAGCATTACACATCCTACTCCAGTATGCATTACACTGGCTTATGGCACTGGTATTTTTTTCTTTGAGGGCATTATCAGTTTGTGATCCCATTCTGTAAAATACATAACTACACACCAAACTATGTTATTACCAGAAGACGACGTGTCCTCATTCAGTGTGGAGCCGAACAGAGCGACTGTACCTATTCATTAACAGATTTTATGGTTAAGTCCTAAATAAGCTGCTGAAATCAAAATCAATCTGCTCCTGATGATAAAGGAGTTGGGCAGCCATGAAATTCTCATTATTGCTCAAATTAATCTGTCAAATTGTGTGCTCCCCCGACCTATAACAGATAAAATCCATCTCAAGAGATAAAAGATGTCTCTAATGTTATGACACGCTGCAGACAACTGACCGATTAGATCACGCTGATGCTTTTCATGATGAGAGAGACGTGTTTTCTTGAACTCACTGAACTCGCAAACCTAATACATCCCAGCGAGAGGTTGTTTTGTGAGCTATCAGATGAGAGTTAAACCTGAAACCCCGCTTGCCTGGCTTAAATCAGTACAGCCCTGAACACAGAGTGTGTGTGTGTGTGTGTGTGTGTGTGTGTGTGTGTTACGAATCAGGCCAGGCAAACCGCAACACAAGGCAACAGATTTGCGAGCTTGTATAATCCAGAGTGGTGTCAGGGATGAGCAACACAAAACCGCTGAATGGGGAACACATTTAGCATGCAAAGTGGAAACCTCAGCAGGAAACTCTTGTTGTGACAAATTCTTGGTTGTTTTATAGTCAGCTTAGAGTCAGCAGCCCCCCAGAGATTTGAGATTGTGCTCACGGGCAACCCTGCTTAACTTCTGATTACAATGTATAACAGTGCTTTGTTTAGTAGGATGGAAATGCTGCCCACAACATGAAGAGGACAGAAAGCCTGCCGGGACAATGCAGCCTAAAATTAATTTATCTGTTACCCCCTTTTCTCTCTTCTCTCTCTCCTAAGGGGGTGCCCAGGGGCAAGGGTGCCCGCTATAGCAGAGTTAGAAGGTTATAGGTAGTTAACTTATTAGGATTATGGATGAATTATTGAATGGGGCTACTGCTTCAAGGCTCAAGGACCCTGGACCAAAGCCTCCTTATTCCCAACTGTTACCATTTCTTGTTGGAAAGTCAAACAACTACAAAGTCACGCAAAATGACCACAAAGAGACGCCAGATGTCTAAAAAGAGCAACAAAATGATGACAAAGAGATGCAAAATGACCACAGAGATGCAGAATAACCACAAAGAGATGCAGAGTAGCCACAAAGTGATGCAAAAAGACAATAAAGAGATATAGGGCGACCACAAAGAGACGCAGAATGACAACAAAGAGATGATACGTAACTACAGGACACAAAACAAAAAAAGAGCTGCATAACGACTATAGAGGTGCAAAAAGACAACAAAGGCGTGTTTGTAGTCAGTTTTAGCCTGGGAGTCTTGCTCCTAAATAAGTGTTGGCGGGGTGCGGGGCCTTTTACATGTCTGTGTCCAGGGGGGCCATTGTCTCATAAACTATCCATGGCTGTAGGCTATTAGGAGTGGAATATTTACAAACAAATATTTTTATAATAGGATATTGAAAGTTGTTTATTTGTAATTAATTTATTACACACAATAAATAACAGAACTACTAATAATGTCTTAATAAATTTTTACTCATTATTACCCGAGCCAGGCTTTATCCCTGTTTTTCTCCCTGTTTTTCTCTCCCCTTTTCTGTCACTTGGACGACTTCCCTTTTCCCACGCTGCCTGGGACTACAGAGGGAAAGTCCTGTGCCAAGTTGGCAAGACTCTGGCATGGAGGGGAGGAGAGGACTGTATTAAGAGCGGAGACAAAAGAAGGTTGAGGGGAGAAAGACAAATAAGGGGGAAAAAGATGAGGAGAGGAATGAGATGCAGAGTACGAAGGTGATACAGAGGGGGGGGCTAGTGGGCGCCGCTTGATGGATTATCTGTTAAAGTGCGATGTTGCACCGGGTTGCAGTCTTCTTTGGCACCAATCTAATTTCAGAGAGAGGCCGACCTGGCTGCAACACAAAGCACAAAAGCCTGTGTGAGTGTGTGTGTGTGGGAGGGGGGAGGAGGTGAATAGACTCACACACCAACTCTTTGACTTGCTGAACAACGTGTACTGCCTTCCCTGCCACCCACAGCGCTGCAGGGACACCACACCGCCAAGGTTTTACACTCCACAGCTATGCAAGTAAATTAAAATAGCCTATATGCATTGGCAGACCAAATCACTGCTAGAAAGAATATAATAATAGAATATGGGCAACTTCTCAGCTGTCAGCAGGACTTTTATTTAATCGCCACAGCCCAGAAAGATTCTGGTCAGGATTTGAGAACAGCTGCCAGCAGAACAGAGCAGCACTAAGCAGGTAATAACTACAGTCCAGGCAGCCAGCGCTCTGACAGCTGACCTGATGCTTTTTGACGGCACAGCCCAACCAGTCTCCTCTCATTTCATGGGTCCAGTGTGAGCAACACCACAGCTGCTGCCCTCTCTGGTTTTATCCGTGATCACCTTAAGAGCTGCCGTTATACCCGTCTTTCTCTCCCCCCCCCCCCCCCCCCTTTGTCTCAGGAACTGGTGAGGACCAAGCTCTCTCCGAACCCTTCTGCTGTCTTTCAAAGTGGATCGAGGGTTTTCAACATCTGACTCCAATTTCCAGCCATTCCGCTTTGATCGGTTTTTGAGGGATCAACAGGGCAATGATTTCAGTCCATTCCACAACACAAGAATCTATGCAAGGGAATGTATTGTTGTGAAGCCGGTGGAGCTGCGGCGTCAGTATCCCAAGTGGAGAAAGATAGATAGACAGACGCCCCTCCCTTTTACACTCCTTCCTTCCCCTGTTGCTATGGAAACAAATATGCATGTAACAAAATAGTTTTAAAGCAAGCTTTTTTTGTTTCTTCGTTGTTGCAGTTACAGATGCACAAGGAACTGGCTGCTCTGCGTGTTTGTGTGTGTGTGAGTTTGTGTGTGCACCTGCTGATTTGTCCTATTATTGTACATAGTGTTGAGTCTGCTCCAATAATGAATGACTTGGTCGGTCGTTATGTGTGTATGCTATGTTGCCCCTTGATGTTGCTAGAAATGCCTGAAAATAAGTTATTTATTTCCTCAATATTCAGTTAGTTTGCTATTTTGAGAAAGTATTGTTCGGTCTATTATTTTGTAAATCTATTGTTAAAGAAAAAGAGCAAATATATGATGTAATTGAGATTACAATAAAAGAATTAGGTTCTTAACACTTTCCATCAGCTGTCACTTTGCTCTTTTTCTCATGTTTTTTGTATTGCACAGTTCTGGGTGTTATTACTGATGTAGAGGATTGTATGAATAGAGTACTAATCACAATCAACTGCTATTATACCAAATATAAGGTAATGTGAAGGTAGGAGTTTAAAAAGTGTCATACCTAAAAAAAAAAAAAAAAAAAAAAAGGTTTGACTTAAAACCAACACCACAAGTGTAATTAGGGCAACAACAGAATACATATGGTCTCTTGGTTGAGTTTGTTTGCTTTATATTCCATGTTCAAACGTCAGTACAGTCAAATCACAAAAAAAGCCAGATGACCTTCATTGTAAATGCATTGAAACAGACCGGAGCGAGCTGACAGGCAGCGTTAGCGACTTTATTTTTCTTGCTTTCCAAAGGCAAGCGTTGCTATTTCAAAGTTTTATCTGAAGAATGGCTATGAAACCTTTATTGTACTTGACACGAGCACCACAGAATTTATCATCAAAATAATTGATCAAATACTTGGTGAGTACTTGGTGGCCTTTGTTTGAGAGATTACGTGTGGTTTTCGAAATAAGATGTTAACACAAAATAAACACTCAATACACATGTACATGGAAATTGATTTGATTGATTTGATTATACTCACAGGAGCCTGTGTACCTTAAAAAAGTGGTTGCTAGAAAAGACATTAAATAAACAACGATAACGGAAATTAATGAAACCCCACACCATCCTTTACTTTGAAATCCAGAAGCACCTAGTATTTGTGGGATATCTGGTAGCTTTAAAGTTGCTGACGATATAATATTAACACTTGAGGTGCTATTTCAGGGTACAAATGTGGGACATTTACTTTGTAAATTCTCTACATTGATACAGTCAAAATGCCTAAATATGTAGACATAGTGGTCCTGAACTCAAACCTATCGGTCATTGTCAGAATTTATAGAGCAATGTGTTACAGAACCTCAATATTTAGAAATGCATTCATTTCAAGGTACAAATGGCCGGCTTTTACTTTAGAATTTCTCTAAAGTGATGCAGTAAAATGCTTAATTTATCATAGTTGTCCTGATGGATCAATGTGTTTTTATTTGATCCGGTTTGAGATTTGTGCCTGACAAATTAAATTTTGTTTGTGGTGCTCACAGCATTGACATTTTATTCTAAACGAGAGGTTTAAATGCGTTATCTTGGGCAAATGTTAATCTTTGCTTTCTCAAACTTTGCTTTTTTCCCCTGAGAGTTAAGATGATGACATCTCAAAAACCTACCAGCACCTCACTTACTAACATGCTGCATCTTGTATGTTTATTCTATAGTACTGTCCATGTTTGTGGTTTTAGGGGAAGTCACAAGCTCAAAATCAGAGACTCTGAGAGGTGACAGGCTTGGCTAATGTCTGCCAAGAATTACTACAGCATTATCCTCCCTGTGAAACCACAAGTTGTCGTTTTTACATTTGTCTGAGTACAGGTTAAACAAACCAGATAAACAGTGGTCATTAGTAAGCTTTAGAGGTGTTGGTAGGCTTATTTCTTCAGCTTTTGACAGAACTGGGCTAGGCCCTGGTTCTTAAAAATAATTAGCTATTGCCCCTAAGCTCCGGCTCCATACTTAATGCAAAGACATGAGAGAGGTATCGACTATTTCATCTTCTCATCTAACCCTTGCCAAGAAAGTGAATAAGCATATTTTCCATAATGTCTATTCTTTTTAATTAGTAGAATTAACCTGCATAGTATTTTTGCTGTGATTCAGACTATATATTTTGTAGAAAGTAGTTGTTATGAAAAATGCTCTGAGTATTTTTCAGACAGCACTGATATTGCTTTTGGAAAAACAGAAACATCAATCTCCACCTGAGTAGTGGTGGGGTATGGGCAGAAATCTCAGACAGATATTTTAAAACCTGGTAAAATAAAACCTAAACTATCTGCATGCAGATACCAGCAGGGGTTTAGTGAGAAAATGTTCTTTGATGAAATTACAGTGAACTGGCCCTATTGAGTATAACTGTCTATGTTACTGTATACCTACATCACTATGTCTGGTTAGCTTAGAGGAACTGCAGGTCTTGGTCCACAATCTGTTTATCGTGTTTATCAAGAAAACCCCGAATGAAACAAACAAGTTCCACACGAGTCATATTTGCAAGAAATAATTAAAACAGAGATTTTCTTTGTTTATTACAAGAATATTGATTATATTTTTGGTTTGCACTGAAACATGAAAATACAATGTTTGGGCATCTTCTCCACTAATTTGGCTGAACAGGCATCACAAGCACTCGGGCCAAACACCCGTCCAATCATCAACACATTAACATAATGCACAGCTCCACATTAAAGAGAATTACCAACACTACATCAGCCGACAAAACACACTCGGACGCTCACTTCCCATCAAAATATTCTCTCTCTCTCTCTCTCTCTCTCTCTCTGGCATTACTGTTCGCAGTTATTGTTATTAGATAAAAAAATAAAACAGGATTTGAAAACACCATCTATTTTGAATTGGTCATATACATTGTGTACATTACATGGTTGTTAAACAGAACGCTTAAAAGCACTTTCAGCTGGCTATCAAACCTGGTTCATGTCTTGAAAATGACATTACGATTCGTTCCTTAGACTGTTACCTGTAATTTCATGAAGATCTCAACTTAAAGAAAAGAAACATGAATCAGTTACCTTTTTTTGAAGAGCCTTAGAAAGCAGCAGTATTGCAAGAGCTAATACTACCTCTGCCAGGTTACGCTGAAACACATCAAAAGGATGTTTGTAATGACGGATCATTGGTTGCCATGGCAATGACACTTTTGGAAGAATCTCTCTTTCTGCTTTGCCCAAAGTACCCACCAGACATTATTATCAACATGCTTGATAGAGAATATTGAGATGTTCATAAGTGTTTCACCAATGCTGGTGAACTGAATCTTGTTCCCAGTCCAGGGGAATGACAGCAGGATGAAGAATGAAGTAGGGGGACAGCTGTCTGATGCTGTTATTTAGCCATGTAAGTCATTTAGGCTTCATTCCCCTGATGACAAGCTGGCTGCCTGGCAGGAAACTCTTCATCATTAAAATAACCTTGTTATGAGGTAAGCGAGAGCACAACCGGCTCTCAAGATCAAATAACACCAGTTCTCTCGATATATTAGGACAAAAATGTTACAATACACCCACAGCATTAGAAACATTAGTTATTCCGCTGCTGTGAGAAGCAAGCTGAGCCCTTTTGTGATCAACATAATGAATACAGTACATTAGTTATTACTGTGCGACCTGAGGCAGCAGGACTACATCCAGGTGTGAATCTTCACACAGTAGAGCTGTCAGTTCACAGAGTCTCTGTCACAGCCCGTCTCTCTATGTGTCAGTTACCAGTCACTGTCATTCTTGTTATGCCTCAGTTGTCCTTGGACAGGTAACCCATGTGTGTGTTGGTGAGGAAGTCACAGGTGGGGATGCTACTGACCGCCTGGTGGATGTTCATGGCTGTGATCTCTCTGGGAGCCCTGCAAAACCCAGAGATTACAAAGTTAGGCCTTTTGACCAACACACAGGAAATATGTTTCAGTCTGCAGAAAATGACTGTCATTAACGGCTCTGTTGAATATTATATTATATTATAATGAATTGTCAATGCATTCTGAGGTCTGTCGCATCAGTTCAGTCCCCCGAAGTCTTACACCAAGCTAATGGCACAAAACATACAAAATACTCCGTAGGCAAGGACAGTAGAATTTACTGATGTTTAAGTGAAGCATATACTGGCTGGTTCCAAAAAAACAATTATGCAACTCCTTGGTTTCAGCACGCATATGCTTAGGTAGGCTGCTCCTAAAGTCGGGCAGATGTTATCAGAATTTTCAGATTTATTACATAGCACAATACAACGCTGTGTTTTGTTGCTTGTAAATTAATTTAAGTTTGAGTAATATTTTTTTTAAATTACTGCCAATACTATAAAGCACAACTGAACTGTTAATCAAAGTAATCGTAATTACTTATATTTCAGTTGTCTTTGGTAAGTGATCTCATTGGTCCCTCAGGATAACTCTGGCATTATTATTTATTTTATGTCAACAAATCCCATGGAAAAAAAAAAAAAAAAAAAAAAAAACTGCAATCAGTCTTTATCTTAATACTTTCAGACTTCCCTACCCTGTTCTACCTCGGTCGCAAGCCCATTTGTTTATACTTAAGATCTAAATCTTTAAAAACAGTGCACAAATAATTTTTTTTTTTTTATGCTAAAAAATATCCTACAACAGCTGGGCATATTTTAAAAACAAACTCAAATGTGCATTCTTATTCTTATACTACTCAACTCAAAGTTGGTTTTGGTGTTTTAATGGCATACACTTATCAGCCACTAAATTAAGTACACCTGTTAAATTGCTTGTTAACACAAATAGCTAATTGGCCAATCACATGGCTGCAACTCAATGCATTTAGGCATGTAGACCTGGTCAAGACAACTTGCTGAAATTCAAACCGAGCATCAGAATGGAGAAGAAAGGGTATTTAAGTGACTTTGAACGTGGCATGGTTGTTGGTGCAAGACGGGCTGGTCTGAGTATTTCAGAAACTGCTAATCTACTGTGATTTTCACGCACAACCATTTCTAGGGTTTACAGAGAATGGTCTGAAAAACAGAAAATATCCAGTGAGCGGCCGTTGTGTGGACAAAAATGCCTTGTTGATGTCAGAACTCAGAGGAGAATGGGCAGACTGGTTTGAGATGACAACTCGTTACAACCAACAAGGTATGCAGAATACCATCTCTGAATGCACAACATGTCGAACCTTGAAGTAGATGGGCTACGGCAGCAGGAGACCACGCCGGGTGCCACACCTGTCAGCTAAGAAGAGGAAACTGAGGCTACAATTCACACAGGCTCACCAAAATTGGGCAACACAAGATTTGAAAAATGTTGCCTGGTCTGATGAGTCTCAGTTTTAGCTACAACATTCAGATGGTAGGGTCAGAATTTGGCGCAA